CTTCCCCCCACAACAACCCATCCATCCTCTCTCACACACGGAACAGTCTCAAACTTCATGCACCAAGTAACCTTCCCCCCACAACAACCCATCCATCCTCTCTCACAGACGGAACAGTCTCAAACTTCACGCACCACGTAACCTTGCCCCCATGACCCATCCATCCTCTCTCGGAACGATCACAGTCTCAAACTTCATGCACCAAGTAACCTTCCCCCCACAACAACCCATCCATCCTCTCTCACACACGGAACAGTCTCAAACTTCACGCACCACGTAACCTTCCCCACACAACAACCCATCCATCCTCTCTCACACACGGAACAGTCTCAAACTTCACGCACCACGTAACCTTCCCTCCACAACCCATCCAACCTCAATAACAGAACGATCGCGCCGACTGCGCGGTCAGACGTGCTGCGTGGCGTTGGAGAGGTATCCGCGCTGCACCGTGTAGCGGCCGTGCGCGACGGACGCGTTGCACATGTTCGGCATGTAGGGGGCGCAGTTGATCACCGCGCAGACGGGACAGACGCTCATCTGCACCTCGTAGAAGACGACGAAGGCGAGGACGAGGACAGCGAGGAGGGTGGGGATCGCGCAGACGACGAGCGTGCGCTTCAGCACGGCGTCCCAGCGGCTCAGCGTGATGTACGGCAGGAAGATCACCGAGCAGATGCCGCCGATGACGAAGCCGGCCACGTGAGCGATGTTGTCGACGTAGGGCAGTGTGCCTGCAAGACAACACAGTGATTACCAGAGGGCAGTGTACCTGCAAAACAACACCAGTGATTACCATAGGGTAGTGGCCCTGTATAACAACACAAAGGAATTCCCAGGAGTTGGCTACACGATGCAATGTTGTCGACGTAGGGCAGTGTGCCCGCAAAACAACACAGTGATTAACGAAGCCAGCCACCAGGCCACGTGAGCGATGTTGTCGACGTAGGGTAGTGTGCCTGCAAGACAACACAGTGATTACCAGAGGGTAGTGTGCCTGCAAAACAACACCAGTGATTAACACAGCGAGTTGGCTATACGATGCAATGTTGTCGACGTAGGGCAGTGTGCCTGCAAAACAAAATACATCGTATAGCTGGCTTTGTACTAAAAATTCGAAATAGCAGCTAACATCTACAGAAAGGTCATCTCTTCCACGAGGCCCGCTTTCGGCCATTCCCTCGAGCGGCCGTTACTTACAGGGCTTGCTATATAACTACAGGGAATGCTTTATTTAATACCTTCAGTGATGAAGAGCAGCATGACACTTGTCAGCTTGACCACCTCAAACCAAGGCCTGTCGATGAGATTCCACGTCTGGAAAAGTTCCTGCCAGACGACTGCTAGCATACCGAACATGGCACCGCCTGCACCAAGCTGTGCCACGTCTGGGCTAAAAAGTGCTGCCACCTGGAGACAGAAATAGGTAGCGATGGAACATCGGAGACATTTTAGGCTCGCCGAGAAATCTCAGACTGCCAGATATAGAATAGATCAAGCAGCTATTAAACGGTACATCGAGCCACACACGCAGTCACGCTGCTACAATTCATTAATTCATGGTCCGTGAAACCAGCCAGTATATGGACCATATCTACAGCGAGTGAGCATACTGGCCAAACCTATCTATGGCATCGTTACATGTGTTAAATATTGATATAGTACACAGCAACATCTACAGGAGCAGTCAACTGACCATGTACACAACTGTATGTACAGCTAATACCCTGCTAGCAGCAATAGCATAGTACAGCTGGTAGCATGATTACTGCCAACCCTGGTGACATTAACACCAACAACGTGGATACATACTATATACTCACCACATTACCCCCGACAGCACACAGAAAGTAGATAATGGCAAGGCGGATAGCCCCTGCAAGTCTCTCAATGTGGCGGGCCACCACTAGCTGCACAGACAGCACGAGCACGGTAACCGACAGCCCACCGTGAAGCAAGATAGAGCTGAGAAAGCGCCAACACTGTCTCGGCGCAGCGAGGTCACGTGAGGCTACCCCATCCAGGCCACAGACAGCACTAAGGCAGTTTACCTGAAACACGTCGTACACAAATAACTGAACCATAAAAAATGATCAACTTTGACAAATCTGATCCCAATTCATCCTAAACGCTGAGAGGGTCCCCCAGGGTACTGCCGGAACGTACCCTGGTACTATCTAATATGCCGGACCGTACCTCGCCTACTCCACTAACGAGTCTAGGGAGTCACCTACGCCTACTCCCTAACCCTAACCCTATCAGATAGTAACTAGGGTATGTTCCCCGGAACGTACCCAAAGTACATTCCAGCAGTACCCTGGGGGACATAGACCCTATGAGCAGCAGTTGAAGCTGATAAATGAGATATGTAGTTGACACGATAGATGTTGCAGGTTTGCCCAAATTGTAAACATCTATGTTCCGAATTTCTTGGTCAGTGACAAGACCAAACACAAATACTGTTCCAATCATACAGAAAATCTGGTTGTAGTTGCAGACAATTGAAATCACTTGTTATTGAGACATTTAAAAATGATTCTAATCATCCTAAAACTGCCTCGACTACTTAATGCGTGTGAAGCAAGAAAATTACATCATGTTTAACTCGCACACAGACACACGTATGCACGCACAGTCGCACACCCACACATACTACAACAGTAGAATGTGAAAATGTCTGGGTTATTTAATTGATATTAACAGATTAATATTCCATTAATAAAATTCCACTATCGGTAAAAATCTCTACTGCAGGAGCTATAGCATCTTATTTTCACTGCTTTGTTGATTAGGAGTGTTAATAAAATCAAGCCTGTTACTGTTATCTCTATACCTATATATACGTTGTGTGCAAAAAAGGACTGGACCTGCATGCATGGCATTTATCCAACAAGTGCCGCGGAGCGACAGCGCTCATCTAACGTCTACTGCGGTGACTCTGTGGTGGAGTGGTGGGATTCTAGTAAACCCTGTTAGTCCCAATGTGTTCACATACACGCCGAAACAGTGAATGCACAGGGGATGGTATCAGGAACCTTCTCAAAGGAATGTTCGTTTGGATCGTTATGAAAGTTTGCCACGAGATGGCGCGTACGTTTTAAGTGTCTTCAGATTAAGATGGAGCTCCATCTACGTAGTAGACACAACTATTTGCAAGACAGAATAGGTAGCACTCACTCCATTTACCCTACGCAAGCCTGCAGGCTGTATAGCAGAGCTGCACCTGTAACCATTAACGCAGGCAAAACTACACAGTACCATCAACACATGCACTGGCAGTAGCCACTGCAGTGGCATACGTTACATGTAACATACTGACATGTATCAGAATGCCATAGAATTATACGATTTAAGGAGCATAACCTTCTTTAACCAAAACTTAGCTTTTTGAAATTTCACTGTGACATTGTAGCCTCATACATCCAGGCATGTATAGATTCTACATAGCAACCTGGCAGTCAATTCTTTCTAACAGACAGTCAACATCCATGTTTAACCCTCCTCTTTGAGGGGTCAAAAGGTTATCTGACACTACTCTTCGCATGTGAGCCAGAAAGTAGATTTCATGGTCCTTTCAATGAATGCCATAAAAATGCTAGTCACCGGCTGAAACAAAAAAGTTTTTCAATCGCTCCGTCAGACATGTCCTCAGAAAATGTCTAAAATCTGCCCTGTGCCCTTTGACCTTTGACCTGTGACTCCAATTTCGGCACAGTGATGGCTTTTCCTACCATGATGCTATACACCGACTATCACAAGCCTAGGTCGAGCCGTTTAGATTTGTGCCGCAATTCTGATTTCTCCCTATACCTTAAGTTAAGGAGTGAATGTTCCCCCTTCTTTTACACCTCTTGACCTTTGACCTTTGACCCCAGCTTCGACATCCCAACTCGTTTTCGGTTACCCCCACAGTCCCGATATCGTGACCGTACGTCGCAGCGTTAAGATTTTTGCGCAACTGTTGTTGACGGACGGACGGGCGCTCGACGGACGGACGACGGACGGGGACGGACGATCATGCGATTCTACAAGCTGCATCTGACTATGTCAGATGAGCTAAACAGAGCATGTTACAAACCGATTCATAGTATATACTTTTCATAGTATCAAGAGTGCATAATAGATAGCATCTCTATTATATGCACTCTTGATAGTATCAAGAGTGGATAATAGAGAAGAGTATGACTCGTTTTAACAGCGTTTTGCATAGTTTTCAACTGGTAAATAATCTATCAATATGTGAATAATATATATTCAAACTTTACCTTTGTTTTCGTCTATGATTCTCCCTTAATCATATGACACCACCAATTTCTGAAAATCGTATGTGTTCTGTTCAAAAAGTTATTTGAATACGACAGTTTCGTACGTTTTCACGCATGAATGCATCTCTCCGACCGAACTTTTCTTATGGGATTAGTGTCTATTGTCTATGACGGAACTTTGGCGGTCGTATGGGATATTAGGCTCGAATTGTATTCAGCGTGCAGCGTTTCCAGCGTTGCTAAAATAAATGCCCTCACGGCCAGCTAGCTAGCAGCTGATTGCCCTTACGGCCCCAGCGTACCGTCATAGACAAAGAAACACTAGTCTAAGAAAGTTCGGTCGGAGAGATGCATTCATGCGTGTGAAAACTTGTACGACCGTGTCGTATTCAAATAACTTTTTGAAGAACACTACGATTTTCAGGTAATTGGTGGTGTCATATGATTAAGCGGAGAATCATAGACGAAAACAAGGAAAGTTTGATATTATTCATTCACATATTGATAGATTATTTGTACCAGTTTATACAAACTATGCAAAACGCTGTTAAAACCGAGTCATACTCTTCTCTATTATGCACTCTTGATAGTATCTATCAACTTGTTTTAACTAGTAACTGTTACATGTTGTACAGCTTTAACACATGCAACCGTAATGTGTATATAGGCTTCTTGCTTTAATTACTATTGACCATTTTCCATTGATTAAATTTGAAAACATGAAACAAGGTAATTTGTCTGTGTAACACCAGGAATGAAATATATGACATACAGAGTACGTGCATGCGCGCGTGTGTACGTGTGCGAGCGTACGTGCTTGCCTGCGTGTGTATGTGTACGTGTACAAGCGTACGTGCTTGCCTGCGTGTGTACGTGTGCGAGCGTACGTGCTTGCCTGCGTGCGTATGTGTACGTGTGCGAGCGTACGTGCTTGCCTGCGTGCGGGCGTGTGCGAGCGTACGTGCTTGCCTGCGTGCGGGCGTGCGCGAGCGTACGTGCTTGCCTGCGTGCGTATGCGTGCGAGGGTGTGCGTGGTACGAGATATTGGTTGCCAACCTGGGAGCAGTGCTCGCTGTCTGGCTGGTAGTGACCGCCGACGTAGGAGCAGTGCAGGGCTGTCGTCAGGTGGCACTGCACGCCCATGCCGAGACAGCACGGCCTGATCTCGTGACTCACGCTGTTGTTGCCTGCAGCTCGCTCGCTGCACACCGACTCCGCTGTCCAGACGCCGAAGCCTGCGGCGCGAACACACAAGCAAACACACGCCGTACTCCCGGCACGATCCGTGTATAGCGTGTTTTCTTTATATGACGTGTTCGTGCTACAAGACACTCGGTTATCACGTGACACATCTATAGGTAAGGTTAGCTTTACTACAACTGCTTGCTTGAGCACAGAGTAACCACACTCCCATAAGTAATCTCAGCATAACAACCAACCAGTCTCCACGTGGTGTCAGATAGATAAGTATAGGGATAATACGTACAGCACAAGCAGAGTACTGTGCACAGCAGCATGAGTATCCGTAAAAAACCGTGGTTAAGTACCGAGGTATCAGTAAAAAAGCTCTGTGTAACAACAAACCACGCAGTCTCCACGTGGTGTCAGTACAATCAGTATAGGGATAATACAGCACATTCAGAATACTGCGCACAGCAGCATGAGCATCAGTAAAAAAAAAAACATGAAAGAGAAGCAAGTTACCATTAGATAGCTCCTGACATTCGTCCTGTGTGGTAGTTGCTGCCACCTGGTGGGCGGCCACCTCACAGCAACCGAGGTTAGCTGGGTTGTCCTCGCTAAGTTGTGCCAGAGCTATGTTGGTATGAATGTCATCTCTCATGCAAGGAGGGTACAGTGCTCCTACACCTGCAACACAGTAAAGGTGCTATATTCGGCCATGCTACCTCCAGCTTTATGAAGCTATAGGGAGTCCAGTTGACACCCATGATCAAAAGGGGATGAACCCATGATCAATTAATTATTACGGTAACCGGTATATATCCACGTTTAGTTATTTCTGCTTGCATCCAAGTACCTATGTGTATGTGATGATGTGTGTGCGTGTGTGCATGCATGATTGTGTGTGTATGTTTGTGTGTTCATGTATGCGCTACTGCACGAGTGTGCATACAAGTTGGTCTGCTTATGTTAATTCTTATTTCTGTATCTGTATCTAGAGCATGTACGCTTTCCTCTTAGTAAATTTGCACGTGTCTGCTTACGTCTCTGTGTTGCCCATGCTGAGGTTTAGACTTACTGACGAGGAAGGTAATGGGTGGTCCAAACCATGGATTTACACTGGGATAGTACAAGAGCTTGTCACTTCCTTCTAGAGTAGATAACCAGTCCGTCTCAGTTTCCACCGGCGCCATGCCTGTGCAGGCAATAACTATTCATAGCAGCTTAAAACGATTGCCAACTGTAACTAAAAATGACCAATGAATTGCTGATCTAGCACGCACTGCTCACAAGATTTTCATTATATGATGTGGCCATCCAGCTTTGTCACATTGTTACCTAGCCATCTGAATGCTTACACTACAATCATCCCATCACTAAGGGATATTAAGCATCTAGCACCATACCCGCTTACATATTTACGCAGGCACCCAATGCTTCTACCACTGCTCTATACACAACTTCCAACATACCCACACATGCCCCATCCTTATCGATTTTGACAAAGCCACCGAGGGCACAGACTACACTAAGGGATATTATAAGCATCTAGCCCCATACACCCCTTACATATTTATGCAGGCATCCAATTCTTCTACCGCTGCCTTATACATAACTCTTTTCCTTACCGATTTTGGCAAAGCCACCAACGGCGCAGACTATGATGACAGTGATTAGCTGGAGCGCACTTATGCAGCACGTGAACCAGGGTCGGTACTCTGGAAGCTCCTCCAGCTGCCGCCGCACCTCTACGCTGCTGCTCGTGTGCTCTCTCCTCTTGCGCGGACCCTTTCTCTGCTTCATGCTCCCGCAGTGTGCCAGCGGGCGTCCGTAGTGGTCTGAAAACGAGGGAGCACCACTGCAATAACACCACATCATGACAGCTAGCATATTGTATTAAATCAGCACTATACCTGCTGTCACAAAACTTCATCAGTATTTTCTGTCTTCGAACACCACAATACATACATATTGGCAGACTAATGCCCCAGCACTATATAATCTTCATTTCATGGAAAGTACGTGAAGAACGATAATGACAGCTTTAATGTTACCCAGTGCAACAGTAAGTGCATTGTCAATCTGTTTCTCCCTCATGCGCAGCTTCATGGCAAGTTGCGCTCTCCTCGCAATCTTTGCTTGTGCAATGTGTTTTCTCTCTTCCAATTCTTGCTATAAAATCGGTAAATATATATTTTTTAACATATCACATTTATTGATAGTAACTGATTATAACTACTCAAAAACACAGCTTGACATTTTTACGTGTATGCATTCATGCACACACGCAAGTAAAAGCATAAATATATTATGCTAAATATTTAGCTTTACAACATTCAGTGTTGTTGCCTATACCTGTACTAGCTTCTGGTACTGCTGGTAAGCTTGCACTCTGTATAGGAAGCCTTCGTTTTCAGTCTTTTCAGCTGGCTGTACCTTTGAAAAGATGGTAATTGCAGAGGACTCAACTTTATTCATTTGTTCAGTTTTAAAACAATGATGTATTAAATATCATCAACAATTAAAATATGTAGTAAAATAAAATTAGACTTGCTTGAAATTTACCAAGAATTTGTGCTGTTATGGGCCTTAAATAGCAACTAAAGAGCATAATTACAACATAATTTTTCTGATGGTTTCCTATTTCAAGCTAATTGTTGCTAAATGAAAGAATGTGGCTGCATAACTTGCTATTTTATGAATGATGACAGCATAAACTCAAAGTAATTTTTATACTAGAGTCATCATTAACATGTTCGCGATTAGGGGAAACCATATTTCGCTATATTTTTCTCAACTGCAGTTATTTATGAAATAATTCCTTTAATGTTGCACATGTCCGGGCGGGGGTGTAGTTGATTACCGTAGGTTCCACAATAGACTGCCGACTGCTGCTCTCACTTTCTGTAACAGGTTCCTCACCGAATGGCACTACAGCTGATAGCCTGCATGGATAAAAACAAGCAATTACACTGCCAGTTTTTTGTTCAAACGCCCTTTTCAAGATTGAAAAGGTAACTTCTGGCAAAAACTTCTCCAATTTATATAGGATATATCATGTGATCTCAAAAATCAAGGTCATGTGCAGTAATGGGACATAGAGGTTACGTAAAATTTCAATCCTTTTCATGCTGTTTTGCATGCAGAATAGAATAATGGTTTTGCGTAACATTAAAGGTCTATAGACCCTGATGCCTTGCCTTGTCAAGCTTTCTTCTTGCTGGTGGTTCCCGTGACACTCCTCATTGTCTGCATCAAATCCTGCACATGCAATGAGCTGTAAGCTGTGGGATGCTTTCATCTTTCCCTCACTATCTTCACTTCTCTTCTCCTCACATTCATTAGATTTAAGGTCATGGTCAGTTAACACTACATGGGTAGTGTGCCGGTGTGAGGGCAGCACGTTGGTCAAGGAGGTTGGCTCGTGTTTCTCATCACTCGATCGATCTATAGGGAATGACGGTAGACTAGGAGATACAGCAATATCCCCAAACACCTGACCATTCCAGACGGTCACAATGTCACTGCAGTTCTGATAGGTTAGGCATTCCTCTGACTGAGTTGAGTTGAAACTGTACAGTCTGCCAGGTCTCTTTGCCGTAACAATGTTTCCAATATCTCGCCGAGAGGCATCTGAAATAAGGGTCTACAGTAGAATTCAATCATACATACACGGCATCTACCATAATATATCATACTCAAACTGTACCTACCATAAACAAATGTATATATAGCGGGCAACTATGTAAAATAAATTGACCTATATGGCCTCAAATTTCAGGGTATGGAACCCCCCCCCCCACACACACACACATGCTACTCATGCTCATCTAAGCTGGGATCTATTTTCCAATGTACTGGAGGTTTCAAACAACGAAATACATAATAAACTAAATGTTTTCGCGGCTAAATGTCTATAACTTTTCTTGCGACTCTTCACAGTATTCCATTATCAATGTGTTCTATGGTAGTTCACTTCTATCAAAATTCTTTTTACTCAAAACCACTGATAAATGCACATACACACACACACATTTACTTATATATGTAAATACATATATATATATTATATTTATACACACATATATATATATATATATATATCGAGTAATCTATGGAGAACAGCTATTTGATATCTACCTGAATCATCATCATCCGGGGTTTCATTAGCACATGAGCAACTATCATCACTAGGGCAGCTGATTCGGCTCACTGGTAATTCATCTTCCTGGTCACTCAAATAATTCATGCCAGAGAAATTAACATCTGCTGACCTCGACAAAACTTGTGACGGTTCCGCTGCAATGCATTAGCATAAGTGAACATTTATCCAATCTGGTTAAGAATTTTTTTCCCCCGACATACTGAAGCTATATATACTACTGGTAACATTGTACACTATTAGTACAGCTCGTAGTGTCTATGTCCCCCTGACCTCTGTTTGACCTGGCTTGTTTAGCTATTTCTGACTAACCCTAACCCTAACCCTATATATTATATATATATAATATATATATTAGTCAGAAATAGCTAAACGAGCCAGGTCAAACAGAGGTCAGGGGAACATAGACCTTATCTGCATTAATTAGTACATGCATGCACGCACACATACATATACATACTACTATACGTATGTTTATGTTATTACCCATGATAATACTAATACACAATCCATTTATTAAATAAATTATCACATCATTCACGTTCTTTCTTACAAATATCACATTTAAACCTACATGACTGGTGCATTACTGATTACCATTCATGCTTAAGTTAGACGTTACATGGCTCAAAGAACTGCTATGTTGTATCACGCCTGGTTCCCCATAAGCTGACATTTGTCCGATGTCCATTGCTTGACCTGTTCATAAACAACTCAGTTTTTGCCTATGATTGATACTCGCATGCAAGATACAATAAATGATGCTCTAAAAACTTTAAGTTGTACTCAAATATTTAACACAATCATTGTAGTGAAAATACTTTAATTACTATACACTGTATGAATGGAAGCATGTGATCTTGAGCACCAACAGAACAACTCACTTGAAAGCTGTTGATGCGGTGACAATGTATTTTCTAAGTGGTCCATAGCTGATGACTGAAGTTTAAGAAGTTTCCTCTCCTGACCACCAGATGTCCAACTCTAAAATGATGTCAGCATATCTTACCCAATTGCATTAATGATATCTAAATTCTTCACGTGATATATGTGAAATACTAATAAAATACTAAAATATTTTAGCCACGCTGGCGTGTTACACACGTCATATGTACTTGACCCCTGACCGTTGATGCTATAAGATGCTTGAAGAATAAGTATTGTAGTTCAAGCTAGTTGTACTTGTACCATTAGTGGAGCTCACAGGGTCTCTGTCCCCCAGGGTACTGCCGGAACGTACCCTGGGTACAGTCCGGTATACCGGAACATACCCTGGTAACTATCTGATAAGGTTAGGGTTAGGG